ACTTTTGGCAAGAATTTGGGATGCAGGCATACTTTAACTTTATTCCTAGTAAACATGGGTATATGTGTATGGGGTGGGTGGGTAGGGGCAGAGTCTGCCATGAAGACCACTCTCTCTCCCAACTGCCTGGCCAAAGTGATTGCCATAAGAAATGCTACTTTCATAGACATGTGGAGAAAAAAGCATGTGAATGGGGTTGAGTAATCTGACTGGTCAATCTCTAAAACCCATTAATCTGATGTTATACTGGCACACTGGAGAAAAGGGCACAGGCTGTGTGAGGATTGTCTCTCAAGCGCTGGGGAGAGGTCACTCAGACCCTCAAACAATCTTTCAAAAACTCTGTTTTAACATAGTGGATTGAGTCACTGAGGTTTGTGAATGTTGTAATCTGCTTCTTTGAGGTCATTGTTTTGATCCGTGATCATATAGTCTCTGCTGTTGTCAGCTGTAGGTGTTTCTGTGATTTGGGCATGGAGTGTATCTCCTCTGTTTGTCTGATAGGGCATATATTCCAAATATTCTTAGCATAGTTCGGTAATCCTTCCTAGTATGGAGGACTTCATCCATTGAAGTTGCAAAAAGGTGTGCCTCGTCAAACAGGATGTCCTTGACCTTCATTTGTAAGTATTTAGGGATATCTGAACACATGAGGTATCAATCCTCATTTGTAGATCTTTAGAGACCTGAAGCCATGAGGCTCTATATTTTACCACTGCCATAGCAGTGATATGGGCTTCTGTGTCTACCACATTTAGAGCAGCTTGGAGGGTTGTACGGGAGTGATTGGCCCTCCTGCATGATGGCTTGAAGCTGTGGGTGCTTTTGCTCCAGAAGTTCTTGGAGTTTGGCAAAGTTGGCATAATCGTAGCATTTGTGGTCCTTGTTCTGTGGTGTCAAATGGAATTGGGGTTGTTTAGCTCATTGATGTATGCATCCACCACCAGAGAATTTGGTTGTAGGTGGGAAAATAGGAAATCCATATACTTGGCGGGTATGAAATATTTTCTATCACTTGTTTGTTTGTGGGGATGCTGATGCCAGCATTTGCCATAGTGTATCCAACAGTTCCAGAAAAGCCTTGTCTATGGGTAGCACAATCTTTATGGTGGCTGAAGGATTTGTAAAAGTTTCTCCTGAACTTCTGGCAGGTCAATTTCCTGCACCATGGCCACTTTTTGAAAAAGATTCTGAAAGTACTTCAGGTCATCCACTACAGGAGGGGTGGCTGGGATCACAGCTTCATTGGGCAAGGAGTTGTTTTTCAAGTGTGACCTTTCCAACATCTGTGGGGTCCTCTTCCTCAGGAGGCTCTTCATCCCTCATTGCTGATGCAGTATCTTGGGTCTGAGGTGGGGCACATCGAATTTGCTATATATGATGGACCTGTGCACTGTGTGCTGGTTTTGTTGGCCTGAGCTCCTAGGGTGGTGGGTAGTGAGTGTTGGGAAAAGAACCTACTATCCTGTGCCCCTGCATCTGGTTACTGTATAAGACTGAGGGTGCCAGAGATAGAGGTGGTTGTTCTGACCTACTATTGGCAGAGTGGTAGGTACTGAGTAGTGATGATTGTGGCAACGAGTGGACTTCTATATCCTTCTGTTGACGGAACTGCATCAGTGCCAGCAACTGTTTTGATGTGGTGTACTTCGGCTCTGCCTTGATATTTGGTCAGTGCTGACTTTGCTCTCTATGTAGTGCCACAGTCTGCACCAACAATGGTGCTAGTGGGGGGTGGCATTTCAGTGCAGGTTGACTTTGGTGCGAAGTCTCACATCAGTGTTGTTGATGAGTTGTGGAGACTTTCTGTCTCGGCTCTGAAACTGCCTGCTTTTGCACCATCAGTGTTCATGCTGCGGTTGTACCGGAGGTGCCTTGCTTGTCAGCAATGCTGACTCTAGCCACACTTGGCACTGCAGGCAGTTATCTAGCCAGGGAAGCTCTGAGCTTGTGACAGTCCCAGTCTTATGAGGAGGAGACTCACATCCTTGAGTTGGTGGAAGTCGGACCCTTGATTCTGGCCCCCGTTTTATGCTGACTGGCAGAGTCCTCTCCTGAAGGCTATAGCAATTTTTCCAGTAATATTTTCAGGGGAAGCTTTCTGTCTCGCCTGCCTCTGGACCTGAAGTTGCTGCAATGAAAGCACTTCTGTGGAATATGGCTCTCTCCCAGGTCTTTTTCGCAAGAGGAATGCCTATCAGAAACGGGCACTGTCTCTCTGCAAGGGTCACACTTCCTGAACCCTGGTAAGCCAGGCATGATGACTGATGTTTGGAGGGAAATTTAGGATACAAGTTGAATAAACGGGAAGGGTAGAAAAATAGTTTGTTTGGGGGATTTTTTAAGAATGGGTTGGAGATGCCTGACATCGGTCTCCCCGCAGTGTTTGAAAATGCCAGTGCCGCATGGAGCTTGGGGTCAGCTGGGGACTCCTCCCCGCTGACCCCAAAATCCATGAAGTGCTGCCGCTTTGAAACGCTAAGGGGATCACGGGGCCAGTGCTTTCGCCTTTGAGATATAGCAACAATCCTGGGGCTGTTGCTACACTTCAAAGGTGGAGGCATCCTTATCAACTAATCAAATAGTTGATGCAAATTGCACCAACTATTCAAGTAACCCATTAATCTAAACAGAATTTAGATGAGCTTGGGGAATTTAGAAAACAGGAATTTTCCTTCCCTCCTCACATCTGGGAAGCTATATGTTCCTCTATTTGAGGGAGGGTGAACAGTGTCAGGATTTGGTCCAGCAGAGGACAGGATACTGGTCTAGATGGACCTTCGGTCTGACCCAGTATAGCTGTTCCTATTTTGAGAATGTGCCAAATACATACGCAAGACTGAGAGCAGCCTCCATCAACGGAAACTTCAGCCTGTCTTATCTATCCTTCTTGATCCTTGGCTTAAAGTCCTTACAAATCCGACACTGACACTTGATATGAGATTAATCAGGACACTTTAAATAGTGTGTGCGTCAGTCATAGGTTTGGAATATGAAAAACAGGGCTTGAAGCCTAGTGACTCAGGCATTCCTAGGTACTGAAAAATGGAACAAGCTAGGTATGAAAAAAATTGCATTTAAATAAATTAAAACGCATCCTGCTACTTGACTAACATTAAAAATATACCAATGTGAATTATTAGCAACCACAAAATCATTGAGAGAATTAGTCAAGGCAAGATTGTTTCCAGCAACCATTTTGGGTGCCAAAAGGAACTGTAGTAGTTGGGGGCAGTCTCACCCAGTATATTCAGATTCATACACCCCCTGGGTATTGGCAGGGGGAAAAATTCTGACAACTGTACATTGGACACACACACACACACACACACACAATATTGCACATGTGCAATCACTCAAAAAAAGAAAATAAAATTTATTGTGTAATCAAGACACCAATAGTAGTCAAAAATGCATTCTATCATCTTAAAGAACCAGTGATGAATTCTGAAAGACCCCATGATTAATCAAAGTCTATAAATACATATCTGACAGAACCCCCATGCTTTATTAAATGGACTTATAGACACAAATATACATAACTCGAAGATGCTTTGGACAAAATATCTCATGTAACCTATCCATCTTTATGTCATAATCCAATGGATCTGTATATCTTATTTTGGTACATTTTGGTATCATTCTTGTGTTTAAAGTTAGATATATAGAGTATGGAATGATTTATGGGTTTAAAAGTGCAAATGCAAGCCATCAAAGATATTTCCCTCAAGGTCCGGTCATCTGTAAACAGCCCCTTTTGACCTTTAAGTCTTAGCAGTGGTTAGTCCTAGAGAGTAATGTGACCTCCTTAACTGGCAGAGGCTGGCCAGGTAACTTCCCATGTAAGGGTGGAATGTAGAAACAGAATTCCCGCCCAAAGTGGAATCCATAAAACAATGGGAAGCTAGCATTATCTTTGTATTTGGCACTCCCAAGGGGATAACTAAAGAGCCTAAGGGAATGCCTTGGCTGAAGGTTTAGCTGGAATAAGAATAGTTTTAGGGTGAGTTTGTAATCAGTTTGTACTGAGGTTTTAGTGTTAGAATTATCTAAGTGTTTTCTGTTATTTTAATAATAAAATCACTTTTATTCTGCCTGTTTTTGTTTACAACCTCTTAAATCCTACTGCTTATACTTAATAAAATCACTTTTATGTACTATCAAGCCCAGTGTATATAATTGTTACTTGGGGAAGCAATCAGTGTGTACATCCTTCTTTCATTGTTAAAGGGGGCTTGCCTAAATAATTAATCTGGGGTTCTGATCCCATTTGGGGAGTGGTATCCCTGGAAGCTGGGCCCAGAACTGCATTTTCCTCAGGCCTGAAGTGTTTCAGTGTCTGTATTGTTCCTCAGGGAAGCGGTGAGCTCAGCTCTGTGCCTTGCCTGGGGGAGACCAGATGAGTTGCCCAGCAGGACAGGGTGGCGAGAAGCCTCAGAGAGCAAGAAGGTGAGTATCAGTGGCTTTGTCAGTACTCTGGGAAGCACACCCAGCAGTCTTCTGTGACCACATGGCATCACAACATATATGAGGAACAAATATTTCATAAGGGACTTTTCAATCTGGCCTACAAAAATACAACAAGATCAAACAGCAGGAAGCGGGTGCTAGACAAATTCACACTGGATATGTTATAATTTTTTTTAACAGTAAGGCTAGCTATATATTGGAACAATTCACGAAGAGTCATGGTGGATTCTCCATTACTGAAAATCTTTAAATCGAGACTGGATTTTTAAAAAAAATATATGCTCTTGTTCAAAAGGAATTATTCTGGGGAAATTCTACGATCTGTGTAATATAAGAGGTCAGACTACAATGTCCATAATGGTACATTCTGGCTTTGCAATCTATGAATGGTAAAAATGCCCCTTGTATAAAAATAGATCAATTAATATGTAAACATAACTTTAATTATATGGGTATGAAATAACTTGTATGCTGATAGCCCAATTAAGTTGACATACTATATGTAAACTTTTAGGGTATATTGTACTGACCTTGATGACTTAAATTTTTCATCTTTCACACTATAAACCCAATCAGATAACAATTTCTTAAAGGAAACTAGTAGTCCTTTGCTTTCCCAATATGTCTTTACCTCATGAATATTCATAAATCTAAGAAAGAAAGAGGTTATCACGAAATTGTATATTATTGGAAAATAAAGCTATAATACACACAAATACATACAAATGATGCAAACTGATAAAACTCCATTGAAGTCAGCGAAACTATACCAATTCACCTCAGCTGATGATCTAGTCAACAAGTTCAACTGAACAGATTTTCCATAAATATAATATTAAGACCCAAGTATTGTCAATTTTACACTTCTATTAAAATCACTGAAATTATATACATATTAAATTCTGTACTTATATTTGCATGTGCTTCTCACAGAAGTAAATGGAAATGTCATATGTACATTCAATGGCAAAATATAAAACACTCCTTTTTTAAAAGCACCTTATCCACAGACCTTTCTGAAGACTGAAGTGAGAAAGGATGTGAGGAAGGCTAAAGTATCTGGACAGGGACACAGGAAATCTTGGTTCAGATTGAAGGCCTTTGACAAACTTTTTGACTTATCTTGGAAAGTCAGAGTAAAATTCTCAAGAATACTTGAGCAACTTACATGTCCCATAGAACTACTATGGCATTAGGCAACGAAGTTTTGTAGTAGAAAGACTAATTTTTACTGTGTTTGCACAGCATTCAATACAATGTGGCATCTAGACACTATTTTTATATCAGTCACAAGCAATACCATTTGTAATTCACTACCATTCATGCCAGACTGGATTATTGTAATTAACTGTATCCAAATCTACATATGGAAAAATACAAAGGCTCCGGCTGCTTGTGCAACACATAGCTGCTGCCTCCTCCAGAGGTTGGACTGCTTTGAACATCTACCCACTGTAATTTGGGTAGTAGCTAGCTCTCAGCTCTGCCCCTTCCCACTTTCTCCCACATTGTGGTTGGAGCCAAAAACCACCCATCACCTGGAGAAGCCCCAAGCATCTGCTTAGACTGTCCAAAATCATGCCAACTGCAGCCATGCCTTCCCACCTCTCCCCAGATGCAAGTAGTGCTGGGGAAAAGCATCTCTGATTCTCTTGATATACCCCATGAAGGTTCCAGGGCAGATGAGGAGGTAGTATTTGCTCCTCAGTTTCTTGGGTTCCTCAGTAATGTCTCTGGAGTGTAGGAAGATTACTGATTAGAGCCCTACAAATGCACAGATATCTGCTTTATGTCTGCAGGTATCCACATCCACAAATATGGATGCAGAAATGCATGGATCATATCTGCAGATATGGATGCAGATACCTATTTTATATCTAAAACCCTACAAATTTTCAGGTATCTGCTTTATATCTGTGGGTAATCACATCTACAGATAGCTGATGCTCATTTTTTGCAGATCTAAATTTTGTATCTGTGCATGGCTCTATTACTATTACTGATGAACCCAAGAAGCTCAATAGCACATACCACCACCTCAGCCATACCACAACCTACAAGGGGCATAATCATAGAATCATAGAATACTAGAACTGGAAGGGACCTTGAGAGGTCATCAAGTCCAGTCCCCTGCCCTCATGGCAGGACCAAATACTGTCTAGACCATCCCTGATAGACATTTATCCAACCTACTCTTAAATATCTCCACAGATGGAGATTCCACAACCTCCCTGGGCAATTTATTCCAGCGTTTGACTACCCTAACCGTTAGGAACTTTTTCCTAATATCCAACCTAAACCTCCCTTGCTGCAGTTTAAGCCCATTTCTTCTTGTTCTATCCCCAGAGGCCAAGATGAACAAGTTTTCTCCCTCCTCCTTATGACACCCTTTTAGATATCTGAAAACTGCTATCATGTCCCCCCTCAATCTTCTCTTTTCTAAACTAAACAAACCCAATTCCTTCAGCCTTCCCTCATAGGTCATGTTCTCTAGACCTTTAATCATTCTTGTTACTCTTCTCTGGACCCTCTCCAATTTCTCCACATCTTTCTTGAAATGCGGTGCCCAGAACTGAACACAATACTCCAATAGAGGCCTAACCAGCACAGAGTACAACGGAAGAATGACTTCTCGTGTCTTGCTCACAACACACCTGTTAATGCATCCCAGAATCATGTTTGCTTTCTGTGCAACAGCATCAAACTGCTGACTCATATTCAGCTTGTGGTCCACTGTGACCCCTAGATCCCTTTCTGCCGTACTCCTTCCCAGACAGTCGCTTCCCATTCTGTATGTATGAAACTGATTGTTCCTTCGTAAGTGGAGCACTTTGCATTTGTCTTTATTAAACTTCATCCTATTTACCTCAGACCATTTCTCCAATTTGTCCAAGTCAATTTGAATTATGGCCCTATTCTCCAGATTAGTCGCAACCCCTCCCAGCTTGGTATCAACTGCAAACTTAATAAGCGTGCTTTCTATGCCAATATCTAAATTGTTGATGAAGATATTGAACAGAGACTGTCCCAAAATAGACCCCTGCGGAACCCCACTTGTTATGCCTTTACAGCAGGATTGTGAACCATTAATAACTACTCTTTGAGTACGGTTATCCAGCCACTTATGCACCTACCTTATAGTATCCCCATTTAAGTTGTATTTACCTAGTTTATTGATAAGAATATCACGTGAGACTGTATCAAATGCCTTACTAAAGTCTAAGAATACCACATCCACCGCTTCTCCCTTATCCACAAGGGATAATAAAACAATACAAAACAAAAAACCCACAACCTAGGGGGGTCTGAAAGCTGCAGCAGTGCCAAGGAAGGCAAAGCCATAGGCCCTTTATAAACTACTTCTATGTCAGCAGGCCAGGGTAATAGCGGCACTGTAGGGTGGGGTGATCTGTCTCCATAATGAAGGGATGGGGAAATTGGGACACAGTGGGAAAAGGGGGACAGACAAGTTACTCCCTCCCTTCTGATGGCACTCATTCCTACTTTGGAACCAGATCTAGGAGCCAATCAGTTCTATCAGACTGGAGGGAGAGAAGAGCAGCAGCTGCTAATCAGAGCTACTCCTCTAGAGTCCAACAGCAGCTATTGCTCTTTCTGACCCCTGGAGGCAGAAGCCATTTACTGCAGGTAAATGGACTTTTGGGTTCTAGTCAGCTGCCAGTGTCCCTTTTTGACAAGACTTTTTGGACAAAAACTTGACATCTGACAGCCCTATACAGGAAGTCTGTGGCAGATCTGGGAATTGAATCCATCTGTCCTTAGTCCCAGTTTAGTATCCTAACTGCTGTACCATCTTCCCTGTCTAGAGAAAGACTGCATGTCCTTCTAAGAACTGCCAGGACAGTCATACTCCTTTGGGACAATGCAGATAAGAAAAAAACAGGGCTAATTGTATAAAGGTCAGAGATAAGGCATTTTCAACAGCAAGGACCTGGCTGAACTAATCCAGAGAAGGCTGAACTAATACAGACCAGCAATCTTTCTACGGTAATCTATTTTAATTAGAGGGATTCCGTTATTTTGGTGACAGGTGCTAGTACACAATACTCTGATGGACAGATGAAAATGGCATGGAGAGGAAATTTGTCTCACTTTTGAAGGTTTTCCTTGTAAAAAGGTGTCAACGATAGTTTAGGTCAGCTTACAATGCTGGTACTCCTGATATACAGGCAGTCCCCGACTTACGCGGATCCGACTTATGTCGGATCCGCAGTTACGAACGGGGCTGCCCCAGAGTACACGGACTGCGGGACCTCGCGGTCCTGCCGCCCGTGTACTCTGGGGCTTTGCTCTGCGTCTCCCTGGTCTGCAGACCAGGAAGACGCAGAGCAAAGCTGCGGAGGGGCTCGGGCAGCGGGGCAGCCCCGGCGTGCCTAGGCTGCCCCGCTGCTGGGGCCCCTCCGTGGCTTTGCTCCGTGTCTTCCTGGGCTGCCGAC